ATACAGCTAGCCAGCTAGGTTAGCTTTAGCTAACGTTAGCTGCTACGTCCTGAGTGAACAGGGAGAACTGAACTAGCGCTTATTTCCTAGTTTATATGTCATTGTATTTTTAAAATACTTTGATAAGCTATTCAGATTAGATGGGGAATTTTTGAAGGCCATGATTTCACAATCTTTCGGGAGGCTTTTTTAAAAATAGGCTATCGCCCAATGAGGAGCCAGCTTCCCAAACCCTGACAGAGCTATCTATCATTACGTTTAAATATCAGTAACGAGTAACGACTCAGCCCGTGAAAGCAAAAGTAAAAGTATCAAATTAATCAAAAATATGTAGTGGAGTAAAAGTAAAAGAAGGGAAAAAATATATACTCCAATAAAGTACAGATAATGCATGTTTGGTACATTTTTAGTTCTACTTACTACTGTATAACTCTGTTCATGTCTAAGAAGAAGAGTCCAATTCTTCTGGGGTCTCACTTACTTGCGTCTCCTTTAAGGTCCCGGACTGAGAGGCTGGGGCCGGGTCTTTGGGTCTGGTTCCCACATCCGATAGAAAACTCGCCCAGAGATCGTCGGATTTCTTCTTCTGTTTTTCTTCGTCGTCCTGGTCAGTTTGACGCCGAGGCCGAGCCTCTTCTGCCCCGCTGCCAGCCTCTGCCCTCTCCAGCCTCTGGGGTATTTCTCCCCTGTTTCTGCAGATTTAAATGGTTCAAATCCTTATCGTTAACTCATTATGCAGGTCTGTGATCGTTAAAAGACAAAAGGAAATGTTTGCAATGCAAGGAAATTGACATTTCGATGGGAATACCACGGAAAATACTTTGTGGTTAATAACTTTGTGAAATAATTTCCCTCTGGGATTATTAAAGTATTTCTGATTCTGAAAAACTGTTGCCATGTTCTAGGCAGGTTTAAATAGATCTAGATGAGAAATATAAATATGTTTTAGCCATAAAGCTAAAGTGTCAATTATATTTGAACAAGTCCTTTGGATCCAAACCAACAGTCCAACATTCATCCTAGCCGCTGTGCACACTGGATTCCTCGTTTTAAACACCGTTTAACCCTATAATGCCAAATATATCATATTTGATTCATAGGGTTTCTGAAGTCTTTTGGATCTGAGACTTTTTGCATCATTCAGTGGTAAAAGCTTTGCTCAAACCCCTGTTGTACACATTCAGATATACCTGATAACAGCCAGTAGAAGACTACACCAACATAGATTTTTGACTTATTGCACGCTAATTTGATCAAAATAATATTTTTTTTCTTCATTTGTTGTTGAGGAGCCAAAGAAAGACTTCAAACAAAAATAAATCCAATATTCTTCCTATTTTTCTTGGATCAAGCTTTAAAGGGTTAAGAATAGAGGTTTCACGTTTAAAAAGTGGAAATGACCCAAAACCTCCAACGGTTTAAATCCCAGATGGAAGTTTGAATTGGTCACTGTAAATCAAACAAAATGGAAAATTACAGCCTCACTAATCTGAAGACACCAGGATCCTCTATGGTCCATCCCACTCTCACCGTCAATTCTCACCTGGAGCTGATGTCCTTCCTCTTCTTTTTCTTCTTGGGCATGTTGACAGGACACGGCACAGCGTCGTCCTCCTGAAGAGGGTCTTCCTTCTCACACTCATTGATGTCATCCTCACTGAGGTTATCATCTAGGTTAAACACGAGGAAGAATAAGAGAAGTAAAGACCGGAAAACACAGATAACAGCAGACGTTATTTATTCTAGTCTAAAAACTACAATTATACCATCACTAATGATATCCAATTTTCTAACCAGTCTGTATCTTTATTCCTGTATCACCATGAAAAAAAAATGAGTTAATTGGATTACTAATGCTAATGGCAGAAATATTCCTTATTGATCATTTTGATGTAAACTATGATAGAAAGTGTTGAGTTCAGTGTGTATCTAACTAAATTTTAACAGAAGAAGACTACAAACAGCCAAGAGAGTTCACGCCAAAGATAATAAGAGATATCTGTAGAGTGGGACAAACCCTTTCAGTCCAATTAAGGATTAATAGTCTATTTATAAAATGCACTGATAAATGGAATGTATTTATCCATTTTTTTTCCAGGAATAAAATACAAATAAGTCCCATAAAGGCTACATTTCATTCATTTGATGGCAAATGCTGAACAATAATAGGCAAAAACAAAAACAGAAAGGAGTTAAAATCTCCATAGAATTGTTTAAAAACTATGGACAAAAAAAGAGACAGATTACATAAATATATTCAATGAAACAGATTATATAAATATACCCAGTTTCTCAAATGTTTTCATAATAGCGTGAGGTGTAAAGTACTAGATTTCAACAGCTTTTTGGTGAGTTTTACAGACCAAGCATTGTTCAGGAATAAGGCATCCAGTGAGCAAGTCCTTAGAGATTCAAACCTATATGAATAAAGGGAAGCTGGACAATTTATCCTGATTTGTTGGGAGTTTTTGGCTTAACTCTAACCTATGGTGAATGATGCCTTTTACCTGACCTGTATAATGCAAAGTGTGTACAATAAGATTTTAATTAATCTAAACACAGACTTTGCAAAAGTCATCATGAACCACACTCCATGCACATGGATCTTCAACCAAACATTTAAAAAACCAGGACAGAGAAAACCAGAACATGGACCCTGACAGGTCCACTTCCATCCCAAATGGCGAGTCCACACTCCTTTACTTTTTGACCACGTTTCCCTAAAACTAACTGTTCCATTGAGTGCTTGTTTCTTAATTTATTTCAGCAGTACTGGATGGACATAAGGAGGTTCTTCTTCTTCGGAAAAATGGCGCGTTTTCTGTTATTATATGGTTTTTATGGGCTTAAAGACGTCAGCGTGGTCAGACCCAGAAGAAGAAGGAGCAGCTAAATAAAACACAAGATCTCACCTGATGGAACATAGTCTGCGTCCTCATTCGACGAGTATCCGTCAGAGTCGTAATCAGAATAGTTCATTATGAGGTACACCTTTCAGAGACAGAGAAATGAAAACAAGGGTTCCTTGATAACAACGCTAACGTTACTTGCTCTGGCTTTACGTTTTAATTTTCTAGATTACTGACTTAATTAAAAACATATTTACACTTTCATTCATATGCAATATTTATAAAAACCCACTACCTGAAATTAGTAGCTTTGTTACACGGAATACAGTAGTACGACTTCCTGTCCGCCACCTTTTCAGGTCCGGTCAAGAAGTGTTCGTTGTTAGAACGTTCCTAAGGGCGTAAAAAGACCCGGAAGTAGCTAGTGCTAATACAGATGTATTACAAACAAAAACAAATGAATGACAAACGCTAAATAAAAAATGAATGTATTATATATGAACTTTCAAAAATGTGTTTGATAAATGGTTAAGATAATAAAACAACTGGATCTACAGATATCATGCGTGAATGTAAATACACAAATACAAACCTACGGTGGATATTGACTGCAGTTGAGCTAAAAATAGTTTGTAAAACGCCACCCAAGAAGTTATAAAACAGTAGTTATTCT